ATTTTCCAGGTCAGTTGTTTTTTTCCAATGAGATATTTCACAATATCTTCTATTTTTTTTTCATTCTTTTGATTTTGTTTTATTGTCTCATGATTTTTCATAAAGTCGTTAGCTTCCACTTGCCCAATTATAATTTTTAAGGAATTATTTTCTTCACTAAGCTCTTTTTCCATTTGGCCAATTCTATTTTTTAAGGAGTCTTTTTCTTCAGTGAAATTTTGTGCCTCTTTTTCCATTTGGCCAATTCTGCTTTTTAAGGCATTCTTCTCCTCATTGGCTTTTTGTACTTCTTTTTGCCATTTGGCCTAGTCTGTTTTTCAAGGTGTTATTTTCTTCAGTATTTTTTGGTGCTGCTTTACTAAGCTGTTGAATCATTTTTCATTATTTTCTTGCGTCACTCTTAGTTCTCTTCCCAATTTTTCCTCTACTTCTCTTCCCTGATTTTTAAAATCATTTTTGAGCTCTTCCATGGCCTGAGACCAATTTGTGTTTTTCTTGGAGGCTTTGGATGTAGGAGCTTTGACTTTGTTGTCTTCTGAGCATGTGTTTTGATCTTCCTTGTCATCATAGTAACTTTCTATGGTCAGAATTTTTTTTCTGTTGTTTGCTCATTTGCCCAGCCTATTACTTGACCTTTAACTCTTTGTTAAAGTAAGGCTCTGCTTCCAGGGTGGAGGGTACACTGTCTCAAGCTTCAGGGGTTTTGTGCAGCTGTTTTCAGAGATACTTCTAGGGACCTGTCAGTTTTCAGTTCTTCCTAGGTGATGTGATCTAAGGAGATAAGTAAACATAAGGAAACACTACTCTCCTGCCCTGTGCTCTGGTCTGTGAATGACCACAAGCACTGTTTTCTTCCCTGGAACTGTGAGGAGAACAAGCTCTGGTGTGCTAGTGCTTCTCACCCTGAGACTGCCACCCAGTACTGTGACCTAGATCTGAGTATGGGCAAAGCAACAGAATCTTGCCTCAGTGCTAGCAAAGAGACCCATGTAATCTTGTGACCAATTGTTTGACTCCCTTATAGTCTATGGGCTGAGAGCTCTGGAAATAGCTGCTGCTGCTGCTGCTGCTGCTACTAATTCAGTGGCTCCCAAGGCCTGTTCCTGGTTTGCTGGGGCCTGGAATGCATTGGCAAGGCCTGCACTGGACTGTGCTCCTTTCTCACCCTGGTGCGACAGGCCTTTCCTGCAGACCTTCCAAGATGTTCTTGGGCTGGAAAATTGTTTTACTCTGTCTTTTTGTGGGTTCTGCTGCTCTAGAATTTTTTTAGGCATTATTTAAAGGTTATTTGGAGGAGTTTAGCTCAGGCAAGTCCCTTCATTTATTCTGCCATCTTGGTTTCACCTCCCAGCTAGAGGAAATTAGTGTGTAATAAGGCTGGAAAGGTAAGATGGAGCCAGCTTGTGAAGAGCTTTAAATGAGCTATTTGTATCATTAGCATTTAGCACAGTGCTTTGCATGTAGTAAGTGCTTAATAAATGCTTCATTCATTCATTCATAACAAACATAGGGGTTTGTATTTGATCCAAGAGGAGAGAGGGAGCCAGTGGAGTTTATTGATTAGCAAGGTTACAAGGTTGGACCCACGCTTTAGGAAAATTGCTTTGGTAGCTGCGTATAGGATGGACTGGAGGAGGAAGAGACCAATTAAAAGACTGTTGAAATAGTCTAGTCGAGAACGTTGAGGGTTTGGCTAAGGCAGTAGCCCTGTGAGTGGAGAAAAGATCACAAGAGATGTTGTAGAGTAGAATGACAAGATCTGGCAACTGATTAGATACATGGGATGAAGGTTGAGGATGATACCAAGCTTCTCAGCCTAGGTGACAAAAAGGATGGTGGTGCCCTTGACAGAAATAGGGAATGATAGGTCTTTGGCTATACCTCTAAAAAGGGGAGGAGAATAGATATGGAGGCTCAGTATAAGTGATCAATGTGTGGAAAAATCAGTGTTAGTGTTAGTACAGGGGTCAGTGGGAAAAGTCAGTGTTAGATAACAGGGTTCAAAGTTTGGGTTTACTGTGGGGAAGTCAGCATTGGGTTTATATAGTAGGTAAGTGTTGGGGGTTAGTGTTGAAGCTTTATGGGAGTCAGCATAGGGGTCAGTGTTAATTCTAGCAGTGGTTATTTAGTAGTCAGGGCTGTGGCATCCACAGATGCAGTTGCCAGGTTCCATCTTCTGCAGGGGTTTTTCCCAGAATGATGGCAACAAATCCAGGTGGTCTGAGGGGTGCTGCCACTGCTGGAGCTATTGAGCTTTCATGTCCATCAGCAGCAAGCAGTCAACCACTGATGTTGGTGTCAAGGAAGGTGGGCCCTCCTCCATAGTGATTGCTCTCCTTACTGCTTGTTGTAGGGCCCTGGTTGGAAGAAGGGCCAGTGGTCAATGCTGTAGGCTTCAGTGTCTTTGGATGTCTTCATTGGGTATAAGAAGAGGTGATGGTTAAAATAGTGACAGTGGTTTGATTTCCCTGCCATATACCACATCTCATCTCTCCCTTAGTGTGGTTTGCTGATTCAGCTAAGCTGGCTTGCTTGCTTTATTGGTGGCAGGTAGTGACAGGTAGTTAGCAGGGTTCTCCCAAAGGAGTTGCTTCTCTGGCTGATAACTGAGGGTGTTGGCTTGGAACCACTGGTATGGGAGATCGTAGAGATAGTTGCCAATGGCAGTTGGTCAGCAGTTGGTGGTGGTAAGAATAGTGGGTGCCTTTCCACAGTAAGTGTTCCCCTGAGTGCTTAGCACTAAGCTCTGGCGCTGGAAGGGACCTTGCGTTTCATCTAGTCTAACTAGATGACATTTTACAGATAAGGAAACTGAGGCCCAAGGAATCAAAGTGTCTTGCCCAAGCCCACACAGCTAGTGAGTGACAGGGCCAGAATTATAACCCGGGCCCTTTGACTCCAAGTTCAATGCATTTTCATTGTATCTTGCTGCCTCCCAGGAGTACGTTTCAGGCTGTGAGAGAATGACTTAATTCCTTGTGTTGGAGAATGTCTGACAGACAAAGTCATCTGCCAATCAAAAGGGACCTAGATTTTCTAAGCCAAAAGAGGGGGCAAATGCAAACCTTTATATTTGAAAGACTAGGAGAGGTCTTGGGGAAAGGAGACATGCCAATATATATCAGGAGGGGGGAGGTTTGGTGAGGAAAAGGGAGGTTTGGTCGGGTAAATGCTTTGAAGATGGCTAAATGGGCAGCTAGATGGTGAAGTGGACAGAACACTGGTCTTGGAGTCAGGAAGACCTAAGCTCAAATACTGCTGCAGACATTTCCTAGCTGTGTGACCTTGGGCAAATCACCTAACTTCTGTTTGCCTCAGTTTCCTCAACTGTAAAATGGAGATAATAGCACCTAGCTCATAGCATTGTTGTGAAGATTAAATGAGATAATATTTGTAAAGCACTTAGCACAGTGCCTGGCACATAGCAGGTGCTATATAAATGTTGCTACTGTTATTATTCTTATTAAATGCTCCTGAAAGGTAATCATCAGATGCCCTGGAACCTTCCCGTCCATACCAACATTTCTGCAGTGAAGACTGTGTGAAGAGCAGAGAGGACAGGAAAGGAAAGAAGGAAAGAGGAGGGGAGGAAGGTGAACAATTAGAAGGGGAGTAGAACTATAGCTAAGAGTTTCTACATCTGGTGGGGTTGGGGAAGCCTGACCTAAGGGGAAGTAAGTACTGCTGTACTATAAAGTTTCTAAACTGCTATAGGGGGGCAGAGAAATTGCCCCCAGTATTAGGCAGAAGCAACGAACAGCTACTGCTGTGGGGCAGAGAAGTAATCTACACACACCCACACACACCCCCCTCCACATTTCCTATCCTGGGGAAATCCAGGTTACAACTCTGAGTAGAAGTACCAGGGGGACCTTGACATGAAACCTCCTTGCCTTGTCTTCACAAGGATCCCTGGAGAGGTCACTAAAAGTAGGGGATGGAGTAGCAACCTAATGAGGGAACACAAGCTTAGCTGGGGTATGTCTGGTCTCCTTGGATGGTGTAGGAGGCCATCACTCCCTATGATGAGATGTATTACCTTGAGCTAAGGAAGGATAGATTCACAATGTACACCATGGTGTGGGGGGGGGGGGCAGAAGGGAGAAGGGAAGCTTATAGAAAGCATCTAGGGTAACACTCGATTTATTTTTACAGGTGAATCAACTGAGACTCACAGAAATTGCCTGACTCCTGCATAAATTTGGCATCTAGCTAAGTGATAGTGATATGCATACAAAAGAGAAGTCACAATCATAGAGGTCTGGAGCACAGAAATCCAACCATAAGAGTCCAACCCTCTCATTTTACAGTTAAGGAAACAGGCTCAGGGAAGAGAAGGGATTTGTCCAAAGTCACATAGGTAGAAGCCGGATTAACACTTAATTGTTCTGACTCCAAGTCTCCTACTTCCTAGACCATATGCCATCCCCTACCCCGGTGTCTCATGATGGTGGTGGTGGTAGAGGTGCTTGTTTCTTCCCTAATTTTTTCACCATTTCCACTGGATGCTTTCTTCACAGAATCCAATAGTCAATTTCCAACTCCAGCTATTATGGGAACAGAATGGGCATGGATGGTTTCAGTGAAAGATTCTGGGAGACCACTACCATCTGGTAGGAAAACATTTCTCTTGGTTTCTAAATAAGCAGTCAAAAGATCACCTTCCCCTTAGCTCCTATGTCAGGAGCTGTTTGTTAGGGAGAATATTCTTGATGTCCCTAAGGTGAAGAGAGAAAATGGAAGGGGAACCATAATGAGAAAAGCCTTCTCTTGTTTTGGTGGTTACCAGGCTCTGGAGATTAAAGTTTCAGTTGGTTTAGTGGGAACAAAACCTGCCCTAACTGAAGGGAAGGAAGAGAAAGGGGAGAAATAAAACAGAACCCTGTCTGAGCATGATTCAGAACTGACCTCCCCCACTCACACACTAGAAAGTCATGGGTGGAACATCCTAGAATCATCTATGACATCATGAAACATCTCCTGTGGTAATAATACTGGAGTGGAAGGAAAATGAAGTTGTGGCTGTGGCTGTGTCTAACAGGGGTATGGGCTGCGGGAGCAGGTAGGGAACCTAGGAAACTGAGAACTGGCTTCAGATAGTGGGTGAAGGTACTATCTGAGGAATCCAGAGGATTAGGGAAAGAGATATAGTCCCTTATTTTTAGCCCAGGAGATATTAATGGTTAATTGGGCAATAATATGAGCTTCTGTGGGGGAAAGGTGACCTCCAATTCCAGTGGAGACCCTGCTCCTTCATTCCAGATGAGCTGTCCCAAAGAAATGTGGGGGTGCCTGGTATAGAGACTCACCAGTCTGAGGGTGATGATTGATCCATAGGACCACTGAAGTGACCTTGAAGTAACAGGGGGACCTTATTTGTACCCAAGAACTTATAGTCCCGATATGAGGCCCTCTTATCTGAAACAAATAGGCTAGTTTTGTTAGGTATGCCCCATCCTAGGACAACTGACCAACCCTGAGCGCTCAATGACTTGGTCAGTCCCCTTAAGTGTTTACTGCAGTAATATTTGCTGATAAAAGTCAACCTCCAAGGTGGGGTGCACTTTTAGCTGATTTTTTCCCTTGGATTCCAGCCTTTCATCCCCAGGATTCCATGAAGGTGGCTCCACAAGGGTCTCTGTTTCTTGAAGATAATCCCAACTTCTTTGATTACCCAGATTCAGCCAGGGACAAAATCCAGGCTGTCTCCAACTTCATTGGAGAGAAACCTGTTTACTTCACTTCAGATTCAGGTGGGGGGATTTGAGAAGCTCCTATTTTCTGAACCTCAGAAATTCGGGCCTCAGGACAAGAGGTTATTCTCCCACAGACTATGGTGTAGTGAGGGAGCTAGCTACAGTGTAAGCAAGTCACATTATGTCTCTGAAGCTGTTTCCTTATCTACAAAATGAAGATGTTACTACTGGCCCCAAGGGGTTGTTGTGGGGCAAGAAGTATGGAAATTATACAAAGTACTATGTGAATGTGAGCTGGTATTATTCCTCAATAATCTCCGTCCCTGTCCCCACTTTTCCTGAATGTGCCAGTGGGGAAAAGGAAAAATGTAACATGGCCCCTAAATCTGATATTTGCAAAACACTTTAAGGTTTCCATTTTATATGAGGAAACTGAGGCTCAGAGAGTGATTTGCCTGGCTCAGGAAGGATGTGAACCAGGGTCTTTTTGACTCCAAAGTATAGTTTTTAAAATCTAAATCTTCCTCCTCTCTCCCAAATAGGCTTCAAATCCAGGTTCTTGCACCAAATATTGTTTGGTTCATTCATCCTCCTCCTTATCACCATCCTCTACCAGTTCTGCACCCACATGTAAGGCCCTGCCACCCACCCAGGACCCTCAACTCTTCCACAATACCACCAACCTCATTCTGTTGCCTACTCTAAGGGATTCCTATCACTCATGGCTGGGGAAGGGAGCGATGGGTATTCTTAACCTATAATTCATTCTTACGCTCTGCAGGAGTTGCCAAAGAGGGTCCTAAGGAGATGGACAATCCATCTCTGCTCACAGCTCCATGACAACCTAAACTCATCCCCTCTACAAATTACTAAATAAAAACTACTCATTCCCTACTATGGCTATTCTACTGAGCATGTTTTCTTTCTTCCCATAACTCTAATGCCTTATCTCCCCAGCTTCTGCTCTCTTTAGTAACTTAAGTGTCCCATTCCTCCCTCCCCTCTCCCCCAATAATTGAGATGAGGTCCTAGTGGCATTCACGCTGATCTCATCTTTATTAGCAGTCTTTATATAGCGCCTCCCAAGGTTCCCCCTGCTCCGGGATCTGGAGGAAGCCTCAAGAGGTCTGTAGCACCAGGGACAGGTGAGAGAGGGCAAGAAGGCCAAATTACACAGCCTGAAGGAATGAGCGCAAGAGCCCCTCCCCCCAGCTTCCCCCAGGTGGAGCACTCAGCACTGGAGAGGCTGGGCCAGGTGGTGGTGTGTGGCATGTAGACGTCTGCCTCCCCATAAGAAACTAATACAAACCTGGGGAAATAAATAAAATCCCTAAGGGTCTGGAGAGATGCTGGGCTGCCTGTGTAGGAGAGGAGCTAGCTAGCTCTAAGGGGTAGCCAACCTATCCCTTGGTGAGACACAAAGAGGTTAGGGGTACCTCTCCCAGCCAGAGGGATGCATGAGGTTAGGAGCTGCCTTCCCCTAGACTATAGCATATGGGGAAGGGAAATAGGCGTGTCCTCGGCAAAAAGGAGAGGGCCCTTCCCTACTTTATTTACTCCTTGATCCTCTATAATTCCTGTTAGTCTTCCCCCTTAACCCATCCTACCCTAAATTGCTGTGGAATACGGCACCTTCCTCTTTAATTTCCCTCCTCTAGGCCCCCTGCAGATTACAGTTGGAAAAAAAGGGTATCCCTGGAGTTATATAAGCAGGAGGGTGCCTCCTAATTTCCACTTTCCCAGTCCCTACACAAAGGAGAGCATTGGCCATTCCAAACCCTCTGTCCCTCAGTCCCAGGCACCCTGGGGACAAGAGAGGTAGCTGTTTCCTACCAGCCTGCTCCCTTTATCGCCTTATGGGGAGAAGCTTTCCCCCAATTTCTCCATCCCTATCCTCCAGGCCTAGGACCACTGGAGAGGCCCCTGGTCCCCATCTCTACCCATCAGTCCCAGCCCAATTCCTGGAGGAAGTAGGTGCCCCCACCCACTCCCTCCCCTCAGTCCCGGGGCCCATCGTGCAGTCCCGGGGGCTGGCGGGGGGCTGGAGGAGTGGGTCCCCGAGGCCTAAAGAGGCGACACGCCCCCCGGCAGATGAGGAAGAACCAGTAGAGCTGCGGAGCAAGCAGCAGGGCGGCCCCCAGGTTGACATGGGCTGGGATATTGAGGGGCACGGAGAGCAGAGGCAGGCCTGCGTGCTGCCCGTAGGCCCAGTACAGGTAGGGGAAGAGCAGCACTCGGCAGCACAGGAAGCTCAGCAGCATGAGGGTGCCATTCACTTTGTGTAGCAGGGTGTGCTGCTGCTTGTACTGGGGGGGAAGAGAGAGAAGAGTGTGAGCAGATGAGGATGGGGATGGAGTGTACGGAGGAGACCTTGATGAAGGGAACAGTGAGGATCATCCTGGCCTAGCCCCCACACCTTTCCCCCCTCTCTCCGTCCACTCTATTGGATAACAGAGTGCATGGAAGCAAGGTAGGAGGCAGAAGGGAACTAGGATTGAAGGTCTCAGGGACTCTAGTAGAGCACAGAGCTCTCTCTCTCAGCCTCCATGGGGACCTCTCATTAGCCCACGTGGCTCCCCAGCACTAAGTAACTTCAGTACCTTGCAGACTTCCTTGTCCAACCTAACCTCACCTCCCTCCCTCTCTTCTGCTCTCTACTATTTCCTCACCTGGATGAGGATCTTGCCCAGACAGACAAAGGGTGTGCTGACTTCTGCCATCAACATGCAGCCCAGGAAGAAGTCCCCCTTGCCTTGGCGCCACACCTTACAGGAGAGAAAAATGGCAAGAGAATGTAACCACAGTGGCCTCATCTTGCTGCTCCTTTCTTCCCTTGCTGCCTCTTTCTAGCCCCAGGGTAGAAGCCATTTTATCTCCCCCCAGCCCCACCTTTTCTGGCCTCAGCCACCCTCTAGGTGCAAAGGAAATGCTAGTTGCCTACAGTAATTTAAGAACATCAGCTCCTTAAGGCCAAGGACTTTTGTTTCTGTCTCAGAATCCCAGGCATCTAGCACAGTGCCTGGCACATTGGGAGCATGAGGCTATATTAAGCTGTAATTTCATCAATGCAGGGAGCTCCCAGTAAGGAAACTCCTACCAGTTTCTTAATAAATGCTTGTTGGAGGGATGAATGAATGAATGAATGAATGAATGAATAATAACTCTTTCTGGTCCCATCCTGCAGATGCTACCCTCAGCTAAAGCTTCCCTCCCACCCCCACCCCCACCCCCACATCCCTGTGACTTTCAGTATGCCAAGCAAAATTCACCATGGTGTTGGGTCCCTTCAACCCTTCCTCCAACTCCCCTGGAACTCACCACTGATAGTGGAAAGCAGACCAGCACCATGACTGCATGGTGCAGCACCATGAGGAATTCCTTGTGCAGGTAACCTCGGGCCACAGCCCAAGTGCCTCCTGGGGGGCCAGCCCCTCCCTCATCCTTTCCATGACCTTTGACCTGGTGCTTGTGCCAGTGACACAAGAACATAGCGTAGATGTCGTAGATGAAGTAGGGCACTGCAAACTGAGTGTAAGCTGAGGATAGCCAGTGTCTGCAGGGCAGAGAGAGAGAGAGAGAGAGAGAGAGAAAGACAGAGTTATGGGACCAAACATAGCAAGAGTGCGAGAAGGCAAGAAAGACCAAGAGAAGAGGCCCACTGGAGACCAAGAGATGAAGACAGAATGCTAAAATGAGAGTCAGAAAGATATCCAGGATGAGTGGACCAAATAGTTGAAGGTAAGGTAAAAGAAATAGGTGTGTTCAGATAGACCAAGGGATGATGTGAGCAAGTTAAGAGAGGATGGGGAGAGGGATAACCAAAAGTGTCAGAGCAGAAAGTAGCATGGTGTCACATACATCTAGACTAGGAGTCAGAAGACCTGAGTTCTGTCATAGTCTGGCAGTGTGACACTATTCAGGTGACTTCCCTTCTCTAAGGCCTCAATTCCTCAATTCCTTTACAGCAAAGGAGTCAGATCAGATGGCCCCTAAAATTCCTTCCAGCGTTGTTTGACATTCTATGATTTTCATGACAGATCATAGAAGGAGTCAGTAATAGAGTCAATTCTGCTGAGTGTGTCAGTAACAATAGTAACAATTCTAGGAGGTTGAAGTCCAACCTGGCCCCTGAGGAGTGAATGCCAAGAGCACAGTGAGAAGAATTCTATATATCCTGACAATGATCAACTATTCAAATAATCGGAAAAATAATAAGTAATGTAGTAACTATTATCTTTGAATCAATGCCTTGGGTACCTTAATAGAACTGCAACCCTGTTGCAAGTGTCAGCAGGGATGGGGCAGAGAGATGGAGTCCAGGGTAAGACACAGATAACAGTTGAGAAATCAAGTCCAAGGCAATATGACAGAAACTGCAGAAAAGAACTGAATATGGGGTGATTGTGGAGAGAAACAGCAACAAAGACCACAGAGAAGCAGCCCAGGGAAGAAAGCCTGAGAACAGAGGGCTGGTCCTATGAGGAAAGCCAGTATGCTGACTTTGAAGGAACAAGTTTGGGGTGGGAGGGGAGAGGAGGAAGACAATCTGTCAACCAAGAGTTAAAGGCTTGGGGAGCCAAAGGCCTTGAAGTGTGAGAGAGAAAGGGAGAAACTGTCTGAAGGAAAAAGAAATGGAAAGAAACAGCCCAAGAATGGAAACAAGAGATGGGAAACAAAGAGGAGGAGACAGAAGGATAAGGGCACAATAGTGGATAGGAAGTGATAAAACTGGTCCAGGAGAAGAAGAGAAAGATGATAAGGGTCTGAGGTAGCGCTAGAATACCAAAGTTTAGAAGAATGTGGGATTTTAGGATGAGGGCCAGAAAGTGCTAGAAAAGTTACCAGACTACAATGGGTTAATCCCACGTTGCTAAAGCCCTCAGTAACTAGGTACCTAGAAGCAAGAACAGCTGTTACCCCTGGATTAGTCTTGATCCCTCCCATTCACCTGAGGATTAAAGGAGGGGGGAGAGAAGGAATAAAACAGAGGGAATGAAGGAACTGTAAGAATGAGCTATAAAGAGTGTTGGAGAAAATTGTATGGTGAAACTAGATCATTCTGGAAGCAGGGTGCCAAAAGAGTTGTAAAAGGGGACAGGATAGAAAGAGGAGATGAGGACAGAGATGGAGCAAAGACAAGTCATGAATAAAAGAACTCCGAGAAATGGAGTTGGGGGACAAGTTAGCAGTCAAATAGGTCATTATCAGCTAGAAAATGTGCTTTCTGGGTTGTAGTGTCCTTTCAGGAAAGTGAGACACAACCCAAGACATGAGGCACTGACTTGAATCGTAGCACAGTTCTGTTAAGCACCAGGTCACTGTGAACCAGCTCATCAGCACCCTGGACAGTGCTGTACTCTACTCTCTTTTTGAGCTGTCCTCCCGCCCGCCCTCTTCCCGCCCCACCCCCTTCCATTGCCCAGGGCTTTTGGCAGACATCCTGCACTGCAGCAGCTGCCAGTGCCAAACTGCGGCCTCTCTCCACTCTCCCCACAACCACCTTGACCCTTGAGGTCTAGCATATTGTCATCTGCACTTTTTCCCTTACGCAAGGGTCTGGCTGGGGCTGGACCCCTCAATTATGAGATGGGATCCAGATCTGAGCCTGGAGGGGATCTGACTGCCTAGTTCCTAGGTGAGGGAATGTAGTCTGGGGAGGGAGAAGAGCTGAAAACCAAGGGCTATTCAGGTCCTGGTGGGCTAATGGAATCTGGGGAGCAGTCTGAGAACTGAGAATTACTTTGAATGAGCTCTTGGTCCCCCAGTTCCTTTTCTTCTCCTGTACCTGACCTTTAAGAACAGGACAAACTAAATTTATCCCAGGGTGTTGAGTTGCAGCAGTTGTAGTTAACTTGCTCAAGTCCAGATTGAGGACTGGAGGAAGAAGGGACTATCTTATGTGGATTTGGGAGAGTCCCACCCACTCCACTAGTGCATGGGAGAAAGGTCAGCTCATTGCACTTACTGGTCATCAATGATATGTTTGCAGGAGGTGGAGACAATGTAGCCAGCTGTGGAGGCCATGATAGCCTGGACTGAGGATACTAGCCTAGGGAAAAGAAGGGGAAGAGGTTTGGGATGGAAGAAAAGAGTAGGGTGTTACCATTCCTCCTTTATATTGAATGCATAGAACTATATTTTGGGCTCCATTCTTCCCAGAGCATCTTTTGGACATTATCCCCCAGGTTTTCCTTAATACCTGATCCCATACACCCTGACCTAGCCATCTCTGGCTCATCTTCTAATCTCTATCTTACCTCCTTCCCCAATCTCTCAACACCTTCACTTCTGAACCTTTCTGATCCCATTCCTCATTTGCCTCTTTCTTCTACTGTTTTGGTGTGAAGAAAGTTGGAACAGATTTCCCTTTATCTTAAGAGAGGAAATCAGGCACATCATTTTGAAGTGAGATAGCTCTGAAAACGTGATGTTGATAAGGCCTCCCCTAGGCAGACAGCAACTAGGAAGAGAAGGGGACACTTTTGGGCCTTTCACATTGGCTTGGCCTCACAGCTTTGCAACCTAGGCACCACATTTCCTCCAAAGCTCTGTCCCTCACTCCTTCTGCCTACCTTCTCATTCTTTTATTTCTTATTCTCCCCTTCCCTTAACCTTTTCCTCCCCATTTTAGGTGCCTCTAAAGTTCTATCCTTTACTTCTGTGTCCCCTCCTTGTCCTTCCCTCACCCCCCCCCAGCTCTCCACTTTGTTCCCCTAGTCTTCAAAACATGTTTAGTCACATGCTGGCCCTATTCCTAGTGGTGGGAGGGGAAAATGAGGGAGAGGAAGGGGGACAGGATACTAGGAGACCAGATGATTAGGGTTGGATGAGGTCTTCTGGAGCAATAGAGGAAACAGTAGAAAAGGAAAAGGCGAAGGGAGATAGAAAGAATCACTGCAGGGGGTGCCTACTTCCCTGAAGGGTCCAGAGGGTCCAGAGAAGAGATATGGATGACCTGAGATGTTTCTTTATAACTGTGTAGCTTCCCCATTCCATCACCACCATCACCATCCCCATAAGACCCAAGAGATGGGGAGAAAGGGCTGGAGGGAGAGGAAAGGAAGAGAGGAAGCCGTTTACCTGGCTGAGACAATGACCGCGTCGGCCTCCTCCCAGCGCAGCTGGGGCAGCCTCTGGAGCGTGTTCTTGGAAAGGAGGAAAAGTCCCGGGAACACAACCCCCCCAGCCACCATCGGGGACAACATCATGGCTCAGGGATTTGGGCAGGGGAAGAATGAGTAGAGCAATAAGGACTGGGGAAGGTGAGGCCTGTGAGGAGTTGGAGATGAGAAGGAGATAGAAAGGGGGTTTGGCTAGGGACAGAAGTAGAGATGAAGGGAGAGAAGAATTAAGAAAGAATATAGACAGGAGGGACACAAAGAGGATGGGATGGGGAGAGAGGAAATAGAAACAGGAAGGACAAGAGGAAAAAAGAATGAAATGAAAATGGGAAAAAAGAAAAGGGAGAAATGGATAGGGACCTGAGAGGAGAATAGGAAAGATAAAGAGAGGGAGGAGAAGGAAAAACAGAGGGATGGAGAGAGATAGAGATGGAGATGGAGAGGGGAGGGGATACCATGAGAGGAGAGAGACAGGGATAGAGGTAGGGGACAGAGAAAGGGTGAGGATGCAAATGGGAAAGGGACAGAGCAGGTAGGGGGGTTACGCAAAGAGATAGGGAGGGCCTGAGAAAGGGGGTGGGGGTTTGTTGTTCCAACCCTAAGGGGGAGGAGGGAAAGCCAGGGAGTGGAGGGGAGGATGGGGAGGGGCAGATGGGCAACGGGTCAGCAGTCAGTGCTGCTCTCCCGCCTCCGCCTCCTCCTCACACTGCCACAGTCAACGCTGTCTCTCTGACAGACACGGAGATGGCACATGGCATTATATAGACCAGGCCGCCCAACCCCCTGCCCCCTTGGTGGGGATCAGGGAGGGGGGGAAAGGATGGGGAGTCACCAGCTTGGGTGGGCAGGGGAGGGGTGGGGAAACGACAGCACCGACCAGACACCAAGAAACCGGACCTGCAGCAGCGTCTCCCCATGCAGCTCTGAGCCTCAGCGGCTGCGACAGAGATGGGGGGGAGCAGAGAAAGGGGGATGGGGGGGAGGCCCTTAAAGAGACAGTGGCTGTGGCAGAGGGGGCTTGTGGGGACACAGACCTGATCGAATCATAGGAAGAAAGGGAGGACTGCTCTCCTGGAAAAAGGTAGTCCTATGATCTTGAGATTACCTAGGAGGTAGCCCCTAGCCCCTCCACCTCTAGGCCTGACCCCATTTCTCTATCAGCACTCAGAAGATGCCTGAAATTGCCTCCTTCCCTACCTTAAATAATGTCCCTAGCTGACTTTACTCTAGGGGGACCAGGGCTAGGAATATGAACACTGCAGACTGCAATTCCCTTTGGTGGAAGAAAGGGGAATTGGCCTATTATCTCAGAGGTGGCACTCTCTTCTTCTCTGGAGGATTTGTCCTTGGAGATTAAGGTTAAGGAAATTGAGGTGAGAGAGAGAGGATCCGGGTGGGCAAGGAATTGATGAAGGAACAGATAAACCCTCCTTCTCTGAAATTCTCAAAACATACTCCTGACTCTCTCCCCTCTATCGTTCTAATGCCAAAGCCTTCAGTTCTATCCCTTAGAACCTAGTTGATAGTAGTAGTAGAAATAATAATGGCTCAACAGTTTTGTAAAATAAATAGTGAAAGTAGTATTTTTTCCATTTTTCAGACGATGGAACTGAGATTCAGAAGATAAGTGACTTGCTCATGAACCCATTGATAGGGACCAAGTCAGAATTTAGATTTCCTGACTCCCAGTTCAGTGCTATTCACACTGTAACACCTGTCTTCTCGATCTTTGCCCCTCATCTCTAATCCTGTCCCACCCTGCCCTCAGGTCTCCTGCTTCCCCAGTGGTTCCTTACACCCTCCCTCCCCCCATTACGCCAATTCACAACATGATTCTACCCCAGGCCTCAGCATAGCACCTTGATGCTCCTCTGCCAATCATTCACTATCCCAAGACCCTCCCAAGTCCCTTTCATTGCTTCACTATTAGTCTGCCCCTCATCTCCTTTGCCTCAACGAGGCAAAGACTGGAATTCAAGATGTTGTGCTGCCCTCCAGTGGTCAGCTTCTGGCACAGCTCTCTGGATAGTCTCAGGCCTAAAGCAAAGATGGTTGCTTGACCCTGAATTTTAAGTGTCCTCTTAGAGGAACACATTTGTTCTTTCTATCTGGATCGTGGCGGTGGGGTGAGATATGAGTGTAGGCTACGATTGCCCCCAAATCCTAAACTACCAAATTCTAGAAGAGAGACACACACCCATGCCCCTAGTCAGGGCAGGAGTTAGAAGTGGCGGGGCTTTGTATTGTTCATGTTGGTGGGGATCACAGGGGTTGTTAGGATTAGAACTGAGGTTTCAGACATTTTATAGAGTTAAGGTTCAGTTTAAAAGGAAACTTCTTTTTTTCTCAGTAGGGACTTCTTGGATCAAAGGGTCATACACAGAGTTAGAGTAAGAAAAATCTGAGAGATCATTTCTTCCAACCCTGTTATTATACAGAAAAAGAAATTGATGCCTGGAGGGGTAAGTGCCTTTATTCTGAATAGATCTTGGCAGGATTTCTGTGGTCAAAGACAAATTTATAGTTGTTTTTCCCCCACCCCACTTTCCATACCTCACAAAAGGAAGGGACCAGATAGAAAAGCCAGGAAGAGTCTCCTGATGAAATCCTTCCTTAGGTATCTGATGCCCATTAAGCCCTTGGACTCTGCCCTCACCCTAACCATCTTACTTGGATGCAATCAAGACCGCCTCCTTTTTCTCCATGTGCAGACTGGAATGCTTCTGCAGGCTCCAGCAAAGGATGGTAAAAAACAGTGGGAAGAAAAGGCAGCCTACTACAAAAAGTAGGGACATACCTGCCTGGGTGGAGGGAGCAGAAAGGGCAGTGAGTGGTAGAACATATCTCTGGAATGCCCAGTAACTCCAATTTATCTACCTCCCCCTGGCCATTATCTGTTAGCAATAAAACTCCAATGACAAGGCTCTCCCAAATCACCATTCAAACTGGACTCTTCAAAGAGCTCTACTTCAACCCACTCTAGCTGGTACTTCCTCAGTTATCCATGGCTCCTAGTTGCCCCAGAGATCCTCCACATCTCTTCTCACCCAGCTGGTTCCCTTTTGCTTTAATGACTCCTAAACTCCTCTCCAGCCCCTCACTCTGTGACAATTTGCCCCAGGACGCTTTTTACTTATTCCATCCCCTCCTATCATCTATCCAGGTAACCACCTTCCCTCTCCTTCACATGTATCCTCAGAGAGGCCCCCGGAGAGCCTTACCTCCAAGGGACAAGAAGAATGGGAAAGTAAAGTTAGTGATTTTCTTCTGAGCTCCAGAAACTGCAGAGGGAGCGAGATAGCTAATCCTCCTTCAAAAGAAATCTCTCTCTCTCTCTCTCTCTCTCTCTCTCTCTCTCTCTCTCTCTCTCTCTCTCTCTCTCTCTCTCTCTCTCTGTCTCTGTCTCTGTCTCTGTCTCTCTCTTTGTCTTTCTTTGTCTGTCTCTCGGGATATATATATATATATATAGTTTAAACAAAAACCGAAAAACCCTAAAACACTCTTCTTCCCTTAAGAAAAAGGCGGGGAAAACGTCTAACATCTAATTTTTAAAAATTAAAAAAACCATCCCCTCCCCTCCCCCCAAATTCTCTGTTATGTGGAAGGGAGGGGAGGGGGGAAGCCCGAGGGTGGGAGAGTGGGTCCACAGCCTGCCATTCCTTTTTAGTTCCTCGGCCCTCTCCCAGATCGTCCGGTCTAAGCGTTTTTGAGAGCCTAAGGGGCCCGGCCAGGCTAAAGAAGGCGCCTCGGGCGATGATTTTCGATCCTGGGCGTCTACTTGCGCCAACACGCGGGGCGCGGGACCACCAGCAGCGGTTGGGAAAGGCAGGAAGACACCAATGCGCGTGGACCTCGCCTGCCAGTCCATTAGGGTAAGGAGAGAGGGGAAGAGAATGCTTGTCGAGAAGGGAAGTGGGAATGGAGGAGGGGGAAGGGGATGTGACTGGCTGGTCAGTCCTCAGTTCTGCCTCCTCCCGCTCCAAGTTGCAGCCTTAGCTCATTGGGTTTCGGACAAGAGTTTGACTTCCTTCTCATTCCATCTGCTGGTGAAGAGGATACCTGGATATTTGGAGGGATAAAAGATTTTAGTAATATGTATCCCTCCATCAATGCAAATGACCACTTCTCCAAATTTTCTCATCCAGGGTGATTCTCCTCCATGTCTTTACAGAAATCCTCCATTAAAAATCCATAATGCCCAAAGTTTTCTCTGGTTCTTTTAATATCTCTTGTGGACCAATATACCACTTGGGATGCCCCCCTACTTTTTCTCGTTCTCTGCATGACAGGCTGTTATGCTAACTGGGTTGTTATCTTTTTACATAATTTCTCCCCATAAGTCATCAATGGTAACATACTGCAGCTTATTTACACCCCCATGTCTTTTTCCATTGTTTTTTGGACTACATATCATTTTGATTCATCAGAAATCATGGTGTTCCATGACATGCAGCCTTAGAGCACAACTGGGAAAATTAAAGCAATGGGCTGTGATGACATAGAGCAGTTTGAGGTCATTGAAAGCACAGAGTAATTTCTCAAATTCGATCCTAACCAATCTTCTCAGGACACTGGCTTAAAATATAGGAACTATGGGCCCTTAGCCAGGGATAGAGGACCCTGAACAAAAACTGCTAAAAGTGAATTTGCCTAGAATCTTGAAAATCTAATGAAAACTCTCTAAATTGAAAAGGAAAGGGTAAGGGAGCAGAGCCCCTGTATGTACGTATATGTATATGTATGTATACACATATGCATACACATACATATATATATAATCTACCAAGGTAGATACCATAGAGCAAGACTTCTTAATCTTAATCTAAAGTCTATGAACTTTTATATCTGTATCTATATGCATACATATGTATATTATATAGAGAAATAGATTATGTTATTTCAATATAATTGGTTCCCTTTGTAATCATATTTATTTTATTTTATGCATTTAAAAACCTTATTCTGAGAAGGGAGCCATAGATTTCACAAGACTGGAAGAGGAGTCTATGACACCAAATGGGTTAAGAACCCCTGCCATAGAAAGTAGCTTTAATGTAGGAATAATAACAGAATTAGAGAAGCCTAGAAATTCTCTCTCTCACTCACACACACACACACACACACACACACACACACACACACACAAAATTTGAGAAGGAAGTCAGCAATAAAACCAATGGCCTCAGATGTCTGTACGTTAAGTATAGGATCATGAACAAATAAAGAAAACAAAGTGAACTAGATATACTAGACATCTTTCTTTTATCTCTATAGTCTCTCTCTTGATTACATCATCAACTCATGGGTTTAATTATCTCTGTACTCATGGCTCTGAAATGTGTGTACCTAGCCCTAATCTCTCTTCTGA